AGAGTGTATTTTCCCTTTTAATAATCACACAACTTTGATATGTACTGGGGCTAAGGACCCTTGCTAATTATTAACTGTGTTTATTGACTGTGTTCTCACAGCTTTGGCATACATTATCACTTTTAATCCTCACAAAACTCAACTCTTCTGACTCTAGGTTCCATGCTTAAACTCTCAAATCATTTGGTAAATCAAACAAAAGTGATTGCTATTTAACAAGACTACCAATAAAACAAATGTATTTTTAATTACATTATTTCATTATTCATAGACAAAAGAAAATAAATAAATGTCAACCTTGAAGCATTTCCCTCTCCTGGAAAAAAAAATATACACTTCCTGTCTTCTGTATGTATTTAATTTCAACAATTCTGTGGTCACAATTCAGTGATGGAAATAAAATAAAATCGTCTGAGCTCTAAGATTCTGCAACTTGAGGAATGAAGATCACTTGGAAACAAATTTATTTTTGTTTGTATGTTTTTATTTTTGTTTTATCAACTCATCCCAATTAATAGCACAATAAATCAATTATATTCTTTAATTTTGTTATTTATTTCAAGGATTAAACTGTGCAACATTTCCCCTTGAGCATTAGCCTTCTAGAAGAACACCAGTCTTGAATTTAAACACAGCCCTCACCCCTCAAACCTCTTGATTCTTAGTAAAAGACTTAATTACCTTGCCTGTTTAGACCTGGACTAAGAGAGTATTGGTAAATTGATAAAAAAAAAAAAAAGTAATGTAATCCAAAATCAACTATTCAACCACACCGATTCAGTGTGTATTACCATAAGGCCAGAGAAGAAAATGATGAGACACAAGTCACTGAGCGAGCCTACAATCTTGTGAGAGAAAACACACTTTCCAGTGTGGTAACTGCATACCAAGAGCACTGGGAGCATGCAGGATGCTGAAATTCAGTAGAGCCAGGGTAATAATGATGTTGAGTCTGTGTATCTTTACTTAAACCTTAAAGAATTGGTAAGATAGATATGGAAGAAGGACTATAACACAAAGGAGAGAAAAGAATCCACTTTTAAGAATCTAGGATATAAGAGAGAGAACATATAGGCACGGACAGGAATTTGTTATCTGGTTTTAGGGAACTTTCTTGTGTGGAAAATGGGCAGTCCTTATTTCAGTTAGACTTAGAGACATTACTCTTATAGGAGTGCATTTAGAGAGGTGGATTAGCCACTAGCCACTATTCTAGGTTTGTATTTATTTATCCATTTAATATTCATGACAGTCCTACGAGGTATTTTTTTTATTGGTATTCCCATTCCACAGGTGAGAAAAATGAGACACAGTAATGTTAGGTAACTTGTCCAAGCTCAATCAGTTGAAAAGTACAGGAGCCATTACTCAGTTCGGTCAAGTCCCTACTATACACTAGGGCACTCACTTCGAGGCATGCCTCTCCTGAAGATGGGACTCAGAGTCATAGCAAGAAAGTGGGCAGCTGGGATGGACTGCAAAACATTTTGGTTACCCTAGTTGATTAAATGTGGAGATAAAATGAGAATGCTGAGTCAAAATTACATCATGTCAATGAAATTAGGAAGAGGAGAAGCATGTTTGGAGGGTATGATGAGATTGTTTTGAACATGCTGAACTTGAACTTGGCAGGATCAATTTAGGGAGGTCTGTCTAGCAGGAAGCTGCAAATTTAAGTCTGAAGGTTGCTTAGCCAGGACAGAATGGTATGATTCTGCCTCAGGCACAAAATTTAAGGGGAATGGAAAAAAAGTAATCAAGATCAATAATATTTCAATGTGATACTTGTAAAAATATCAAAATCAATGCAAAAAAATGACAACCCAAATATCAAAATTTTAAGAAAGATCAGTATTTTTCCTTTCCCTTAGTCTCCAATATGGCCCCAGATAGCATTATTAACAATTCTACCTTTATTTGAAAATTTTTAATTTTTATCATGATTTTTGCATCAATTTTGATTTGTTAAAATACTGCCTTAAGAGAGAATTGGTCTTGGGGCGCCTGGGTGTCTTAGTCAGTTAAGCATCTGACTGTTGATTTCAGCTCAGGTCATGATCTCAGGGTTGTGATATTGAGCCCTATAGTCAGGCTCCATGCTGGGCATGGAGTCTGCTTAAGATTCTCTCTCTCTCCCTCTCCCTCTCCTCTCTCTCTCTCTCTCTCTCTCCAGAAAGAGACTGGTAAAGTCAGGGCTAAAAAGAGAGAGAGAGGGAGAGAATTGATCTTGATTACTGAGCTTTTTTGTTGCATCCCGAAATTTTGCATCCCAGGCAGATGCTTCATTTGTCTTACCTTAGTCCTGGCTGAAGAAAGAGGAAATTCCACTTACCTGTACCAAAGTTCTTTTTTATTTCTTCACTAAAAAGAAATTATTTCCTTTTATTTTTTATTTCTTCATTAAAAGGAATTCCTTCACTAGCAGGAAAGAAATTATTACTAAAACTGAAACTGAATTTAAGTGATGACTCTGGTTTTTAAGTTACCTTGTGTCCAGATCACCAGTTCTCATAATTTTTCACAAGAAGAAGGAAGAGAACAAACAATTTCTCCTTTACAGATAAGGAAACCAAGACATATAATGACTCAGTGACAAAGTTAAAACTAAACTTCTTGGTATTGCATGGGACATGCTAGATCAGAAGCTTCCCTGGGAATAAATTGGAAGAAAAAAAAATATGAAGTATATTTATGTGAGCAAATCTTAGCTAAATAATTGGACTGAAAGAATGAGTTTTGGTAAACAGCCTTGCATTCCCCCTCAGCCATTTACAGCTGGGCAACCTTTAACAAGTTCCAAAGCCTTACTTAGTTTTCTCATCTATAAAATGAGCCTCATTATACCTACCTTTTATTGTTTTGGTTGGGTGGGGGGAAGAGACTATAGCTAATGATATTTATCAATCAGCATCTCAACCTATAAGCACATGATACTCACAAAATAGGAAAATCCCAGAAGTTTTTTGTTTTTTGTTTTTGTTTTGTTTTGTTTTAGTAGGCTATATATAGAAGTAGAAGGACAGAAAAACCAAGAAGGATAATGCACCTGGTTGCTGGAAACCAAAGAGAGAGAAAAAGCGACATAGAGTTACAGTGACTTGGTAGAAGGGACCATGTAAATAAATATTCTGACCTCACTCTTCTTTCTTCCTTTGATTTCCAACCAAACCCTAAGCTAGAGGTTATCAGAGACCAGTTGCTTTATTCCATGCAAGTCAGCCCTAAGGGAAGACTGTAGGATGCAGAAGGGTGGAGAAAGCACCTAGAGGAGCAAAAGAAAGCTGACTCCCACAAAAATAATAGCTCATGAGTAGCAAGCATTTTCTATGTAACAGACACAGATGCTTTACTGTGTCATTTCATTTCATTCAAATAATGTTCTTTATGGTGAATACTACTATTTTCCCATTTTATAGATGAGGAGCCTGAGATTTACTACAATTTGCTAACTTGCCGAAAGCCTCAGAACTAAGAGGTGTAGGCAGGAATTGATGTGCCATAGCCCATCACTGCAGAACAATAAATTGTAGTGTTTCATAATTATCATCACCACCCTCAAAACCATTTAATTCCAACCCCTCCAGCAATTATATTTCTAGGAATTTAACTCAGTTATAATAATGCATGTGCATAAAGAAGTATGTTCAGAAATGTTGTTTATAACACTGTATTAGCAAAAGATAAAAAATGTAAATGTCTATGAACTTGGACAGATTAAAGAAGCTACAGTACATTTATAAGATGATATTTCTATTTACCACATAGTAAAAAAGGCAGCTCTAGGAGCACTGTGTATTAATATATATTGATAATATTGTTTAAGAACAGTGTGTATAATACCATTTCTATTAGAAAATAGAATATATTCTAGTAGCTAAAAGAGTGTTTTTGGAAAAATACCTAAGAAACTGGTGACTTAGTTGCCTCTGGGGAAAGCAATTGGGTGGCAGGTGAAATGAAGTTAATTTTTTTATTTCACAACTTTGTACTTTTGAAATTTTTCCCATAGTCATGTAATACCTACATTAAAAACATAAATTAATTAAGGGAAAATTGAATTGTACATGATTAGGGACCTTCTGGGGACTCTTGTAATTTGGGAAACAGTGAAAGAAAATGCACATGAATAAAAATCAGTTTTCTTAATCTTCAGATCCTGAGCAATTTGCTTTTTCAATAACAAAATCCTTTGCCATACCAGCTGCGGTTAAAATAATGCAAAATAAAGAGTAAACTTCCACATGTATGACACAGGGCTGCAAAAGCAAGAACTGTAGGGTAAACGATGAGAAATCGGGCCCTTGAAGCCAGGTACCAGGTAGGTCACAAGGCAAACTGCGCATAATACCGCAAACACAAACAACGCAGCGTGAGAACACCCCAGGAGGACGGCTATTTTTTTCAGCAACTTTCCTGGCCAAATGAAGCAGGTGGCAAAAACACAGCTCCTGAACCCCAGGGGATTTACAAGAGCTCTGTCCTCTGCATAGGACCGGCATCAGCCTTCCAGGTTTTCATCCCCTCCAAGAAAGCTGACATTTTTGTTTGTCACAGCATTTTCAAATTGGAAAGATCAAGACAGAAATTTCGGCCATCAGGAATGGAGAGACTGGCCAGTGAAATGAAGGAGTTGGTGATGAAGATGACTGTTGCCTGGACAGCCATTTTTTTTTTTTTTTTAAAGAAGGATGCGCCCACCAGAGTTTAAATTGTTGATCTCCTCCATGTGTTACCAGAAAGAAATGTCCTTCCTTAGACTAGGAGGCAGTTTCAGGAATTTCTGTAAATTCCTTCCGGAATTTACAGATGCTCTCAGGATTTCTGAGATTCTGATCCTCCTGCTAACTCGGAGTAGGGCGTAGAAGTTTGGTGCTAGGCGCAGCTATGAGAATGGAAAGGGATGCCCTACTCCCGGAGCGACTGGGGCTCGGGCACTTAGCCCCTCCCGCTTCCGAGCCCCGCCTCCCCGCAGGGCGAGTCCTATAAAGTCGCGGCAAGCCGGGTCCCTCCGGCCGGTCTCGGATTAGTCCCCCTTCGGGATCGACTTGATCACGCACCCCTTTCCCGGAGCAGTGCCTGTCAGAGCCATGTCCCAGGGCCTGTACCACGAGGAGTTCGCCCGAGCGGGCAAGCAGGCGGGACTGCAGGTCTGGCGGGTGGAGAAGCTCGAACTCGTGCCGGTGCCCCAGAGCGCTTACGGCGACTTTTACGTCGGGGATGCCTACCTGGTGCTGCACACCGCCAAGGCGAGCCGGGGCTTCACCTACCGCCTGCACTTCTGGCTGGGTAAGGGGGTGCAGGCAGCGGGACCCCGACGCGCCCAGGTCGTGGAGGGGCGAGGCCGCGGGAGGCTGAGATTGGCAGGCTGGAGGTGGGGCTGGGGTGGGGGGAGAGGGGAACCTCACACGGGAAGGGCCTGGGACCCGTCGCGCCTGTCGCGTCCCCTCCGGGCGGCCCCCTTTGGGCTGGCAGCCTTCTCCACGCCAGAGTCCGCTCTTGAGAACGCGGCTGCAAACGCGCGGCACAGAGTGGTCGGGAGCAGTCTTACCCCACGGGCTTTGACCTCTGTCAGGCCGGTCTCCCGGGCTTGGAGGCTGGTTCCTCTCGCTTCTCCCCCTTGCACCTTCCAGTTTGGAAACCGCGCTCCCGCCCAGGGCCGCTGCTTAGCGCACCCTGGCTCTGACCAAGCCCCGCTCACCTTCCGACAAGTTCAGTCCTGGTTTCCCTGTCAGGGAGGAGATGAAGTCAAACAAGTTTGTAGGAATCCGCCGCAGCTGTGGAGAGGTACCCCCCCACACACACACACAAACACCCCCGCCTCCCTTTTCTCTAGTTAATTTATTTTTATTTTTTGCCCTTGGGCCCCAGCTTATATTTCTCCACACATTTTGGCAGTTAATGCTCTGGGCGACTTTAAATCAGAATCCACTTGCTCCACACTGCTCACACGGTTGGCTAACAGGAATTCCTGCTGATCAGGATGTTGGCGACCCTGGGTGGAAAAGAGAAAAAAAATACAGCTCTTGTCAATATAAATAAATAGCTTTATATGGCACATGTATTACTTAAATGAGTTGCTTTATTATAACAGTTATTTGTATTATTGTTATTTATCTATTTGAACAAGGACACAATGTGAAACAAAACAACTCCTTCAGCAATAGTGATTATTTTGGGCGGCGCTTGCGCCAGGTTGTCAGAATACTGGGCCTTGTGTGTTCTACTTTTTCCACCTTCTACTTTTACTCGTAAACATCCTGAATGTCCAACCTCTCCCTGTAGGATCCTGCGCCAGTGGACACACCCCGTCTAACAACGTGCCGATTATCTGAGACTTAGGGCCTTCTTTTAAAACTAGCTTGCCTCCCCTGGACTTCCCGTTCTTTATTTTTAGCTTTATTCCTGAGCCTGTGGGGAGACCACACAAAACCACACACACACGCATTTTGAAGTCCTTGAAAAGCCATCATTTTTATTTCTAACATCTGAAGAACTTAAGAAATAACATGGCAGAAACCATTAAGAAGTGATGTTCTCAACGGTAGTGAACCCCTGAAACAGACACTCCAAGTGAGAAATACAAAGAGGGAGAAGGATTGTTTTTATTATAGCGTTTGATGTTAAAATTTTGTGCTTGCTTGACGAAGCTCAAGCTGAGTTCCAAACACTTTTTGGTTTCCCAGTGTAGTGTCACTATTCCTACGATAAATAGACAGTGATCTACTTATATTTTATACCAGAAATCACTGAAACGTTAATATAAAACCATGTTCATGAATGAATGATGCCAGATAGAATAGTAATGTCCTCATCTTGGTCTTTCTATTCAGAACTTGGATCTAGAATGAATAAAAGCGTCTGAAATGCCACATTTGTAATTTTGGTGAATTAAGATATGAAGGGACCTCATATCTTGCTGTAGACAACAGTTTGTCAGAAGACTGCAAGAGGCTTTGAACACAGTTTGTGGGGGTTTTTTTGGGGTAGTGGTGGTTATTCTATGGGTTCTTTCTTATCCAAAGAAGCTCGCTCATTAAACAAATTGTTTTTTAGGGTTTACAGATTCACATTAACTCAATCATTCATTTAGTGCTCACCAATTTTGAAAACTGTAATAGAAAATGCTTTGGGCAAAAACACTTAATGATTGTCAAGATCTACTAAAACTGAAGTTAATAGTGTGTTAATTAATAAGTTAATTCATTCAATAATTATTCAATGTGCCCAGCATTGTGTAAGGCATTTCTGCATGTGACTGATTTATGAACCTTCTCCGAAAGTTTATAATCTCAAAGATACAATAAGACAAAAAGTGATATAACACAGGCAGAACGGCTAAACGCTGTGAAAGAGACAGTGTCTGTAGTTATTCGGAAGCAGGGAAGGAGAGAAGCTTTGACAGAAAAAAGGAAAATGAGGGTGATTGGAAGGGATCTTGTCCAAAAGAGAATCCTGGGGAACGTGGAAAAGTTTAGAGTAAAATGGTCCACTGGGCCTTTCGATGGAATTGTTCGGCAGCTCTTCCTACTTTAGTTCCCGGAAGCAAGCTGGATTTCATCCAAAATCTTCTACCCTAAGACCTAAATTTGGATGAATTCATGAGGATTAATCAGAGAGACAGATTGAGGAAATGTTCCAAGAGGGAGAGCTGAAAGTTCAGGGGGAAAGGAAGTTTAACTAAAGGAAATCACTGAACTAGAACTAAACTCAGAAACTAAAGAGTCCTCTTTCCTGCCCTGTCTCTCAGAGGCTTTCCATGATACCCTCACGTATCTCAGATTATTTCCTTTTATTATTTTCTCTTTTACTTACTTTACTAAGTAAGAATTTGTTGCATATAACTTAAAAGTTGTTGCACTGGTCCTTCCATAAAAACCATTTCAGCTTTGTACCTAGCAGTTTAAATGCATCTACCTTCTGCTTCTCGTTACTTAGAGCATCATGTCTATGAGCACAGCTGGATGATAAAGCTACTCAGTCACATCCTGGACCTACGCTACAAACACCCACCCTCATCATTTCTCTTTTCCAGTTTTAAACTTTACATAAATGTATTTGAGAGCAGTAAACATTTGTAGTATATCTAGTCTGTGCTAGCTTCTATGCAAGGCACAGGGAATCCAAAGAATTAGATTACAATAAACAGTGTATAATTCAAGGAACTTATAATATATAAGGGCTGGTGAGGGTGCTGAGAAACCAGATTTTTATACATTGCTTGGGGGGGGGGAATATAAAATGGTACAGCCATTATGAAGAAGAGTTTGACAGTTTCTTACAAAACTAAACTTGCAACTACCGTATGACCCAGCAATTGCATTCATGGGCGTTTATTCCAGAGAAATGAAAATTTATATTCATGTAAAAACCTACACATGTCCATAGCAGCCTTATTTGAATAGACAAAAACTTGATTCAGTCCAGATATCCTTCCACGAGTGACTGATCAATCAAATTGTGGCATATCTATAACAGAGAATATTACTCAGCAAGAAAAAGGAACAAACTTGATACATACAATTCAGATGAATCCCCAGTAAATTATTCTGAGTGAAAAAACCAATGCCAAAAGGTTCCATACTGTGTGATTCCATTTATATAACATATTTGAAATAACAAGTTTAGATTTGCTGTTATCAGAGGTTAGGGATGGGGTGGGGAGGGGGTGATACAGGTGGGAGATGGGGTAGTTATAAAAGGGCAACTTAAGGGATTTTTTAGTGATATAACTATATAGTATCTTGACTGGGATGATGAATACATGAATTTACAGGTGATTGAGAGAACTAAACACACATAGAAGAGTGCAGGTAAAACTGGGGAAATATGAGAAAGATAAGTGGATTGTATCAGCCTCAATATCCTGATTTTGCATTCTGTACTGTACTGTGCTTATATGCTTGTGGTTTAGTATATTGTGGTATACCAGACTATACTCTAGTTTGAAAAATGTTACCAATGGGGGAAGTTTGGTCTGCTGATCTATGTCTCTCCTCCTACCAATACCACACTGTCTTAATTATTGTACCTGTATAGTAAGCCTTAATATCAGATAGAGTTATTCCTCTTATTTTTCTTTGTCAAGATATTTTAACTCTTTCAGGGCCTGTGCCTTTTCATATAAATTTTACAGTAAACTTATATAATCCAAATAAACCTTCCTATGATTTTTATAGGAATAGTGTTAAACTTGTAGATCAACTTAGGGAAAATTAACATCTTTATTATATTGGGTCTTACAGTCCATGAACACTATGTCTTTTTTTTTTTTTGAACACTATGTCTTTATATTTATTAAGGTCTTTGATTTTTGTCATTAACGTTGTATAATTTTTAGCATATAGATCACGTACCTGTCATCACATCCCCGAAACAATTTTAGGAAGTTTGCCGCATATGTACAAATATAATGTAAGGCAACAGAATATAAAATAACATAACACAAAAGAACATATCATAACTTGAAAGACATTGGTAAAAGATGTCAGAAAAGGGAAAATAAATGAGGTCATAAGCAAAATTCATAGAGCAAGTTCATATGTTCCTGAACATTGCTAAAACTGCATCATGATATCACTGAATTGGATTCTAGTTTTCACATTCAAAGGCTGGTATTGGCTTCTTTAGGATCTTTCAACTTCTTTAGAGCAAGGATTCTAGTTTATTGATACTGATATTCCTCAGGACTGGCTCGGATCCTTGGGCACACGGAAGATGCCGGGGCTGAAGAATTGGTGTTTTGACCTCAGCGAGGTTGCCTGGATGGGATTTATACTAGAACTGTGAAAATTAAATGTGTGTTGTGTGTTAAATTCTTGGGTTAATAACACCTACATTCACATTCAATAGATGTGAATCTTATTAATCTCTTATTCTCCCTTTCCACGTAGAGAATATGACCTTACACCAATAAAATAATGAAGTGGGGCACTAGGACTTAAAAATAGGGATAAGGTCAAGTGATATTCATTTTCCCATTCTAAAAACCACTTGCTTTTCTAAAGCTATTTATCTATAGCCTATGATGTTCATATTCCTTACAAATATTAACATATTGGCATATTGATGCTAATAAAAGCTAAAACAATTGGAAAACATTCTCATAGTCTGATCTGATTAGCAAATGAATCTGAATCCTACTAGAGTATAGTGCTATATCTTCTTGAGCATATACAGATAGCAGTGTCATGTGTTGTTTTTTTTAAGATTAACTTATTTATTTTAGAGAGAGAGAGAGGGAGGGAGAGAGAGCATGAACGGGAGGGGCAGAGGGTGAGGGAGAGAGAGGGTTCCAAGCAGACTCTGCAAGGAGCACGGAGCCCAACATGGGGCTCCATTCCACGACCCTGAGATCATGACCTGAGCCAAAACCAAGAGTAGGACAGTTAACCGACTGTCCCACCCAGGTGCCCCCAGCAGTGCTTCTTTTAAACAGTTTTTAAAAAGAATTGAAAAGCAAGAACAAAACAATTCTTGTAGCTATTAACAAAATAATATTTTTATATTACAACATTTCTGTCAAAAGATTGTTCTGCTGAAGACGGTTTATTGTATTGATGTATATATAATTCAAAGAAAATTTCTGAGCCTTTCGTATCAAAAATTCTGCCTTAGTCATTTTCCTGGCTTGAGAAATGCAGTGCTGTCCTTTGCTGTTTCAGGAAAGGAGTGCACTCAGGATGAAAGCACAGCGGCTGCCATCTTTACTGTTCAGATGGATGACTATTTGGGAGGCAAGCCAGTGCAGAGTAGAGAACTTCAAGGCTATGAATCTACTGATTTTGTTGGCTACTTCAAAGGAGGTCTGAAATACAAGGTAAGCCGCTCTCTTGAACTCTTTCCATTATGACCCCCTTTCTCCTCCTATGCATCCACACCTCATGTCTTCAGAGAATGGAAGTTCATTGAGGACAGGGTTTTTTTGTTTTGTTTTTGTTTCAATATGTTTTGTTTACTGATATATACCAGTACCTGCTGGATACATAGTAGGTACTCAATAAATGTTTGTGGAACATGAGTGTAATATGTGAAATGTTCTGGATTGATTTCATTTAAGAGGTTAATTTTTAATAAAGTTAAGAGCTTTCAGTAATGTTGTCACAAGAAAGCCCTTTAAAATTTTGTGGAGTTACTTCGATAATTAAATATTAGCAACTTGGGTATTCACAATTTCTGTTAATGCCATTCTAGAGAACCTCTGAAGTTACTGCAAATGACCCAAGACTTGGGAATCTCAGTTGTTCTGGAATGTTTTAATGCAATATTTATAACAATTATAATTCCAGCTACTTCTATAGAAAGAACTATACACACATTTCTCAAATAGTGTGGTTTGATCTTGGAAATGATACAAATGAAACAAACCATTGAGTTAAATATATGTGTGGTTCAGCCTCACAAAGTCAAATATACCTACACTGCTACACACACATGCCCACAATTTATGTGTTTTGGCCTGAAACACTCATCATCAACCGGCTTTTCTCCTGAGGGAAAAAGAAAAAAAACAAGTTAAGTAGTTCTATTCTTTTAAGGCAACCTTCAGTGAAAGACAGCCTTTTTTTGGGGGGGAATTCCCTCCATGACCCTTGTGGACTGGCCACTCTTCACAATCTCCCCTGCCCCCGAGTGTTCAGTTATAGTGTGAGAAATACCTCCCTAGACAAACATTTCAGAAGCAATCCTTTTCAAAATCAGACATGCTCCAACAGGTCTTCTGCAGACCCCACCACCTCACCCTTTAAGCCTGTTAGCTTACTAAAGACTTAAAACCTCAGAGCTAAACTAGAATTCTGAATATGTATTGAATTTATCTACTACAATGCCAGGGTTTATTTCTACTTTTGCCTGATCAGAGCCTTAGTGAATATTTTGTGATGCTATTGAGGTGAGGATAAACACATATAAATTCTCTTCTCTCTTGAAATGATGTTTTTCACTCTAGGTTATGAACAACCCTAGATATGAAACAATGTATGACTTCTCATTTCATTTAATTCACATGAGTTCCTACAGTTTATGTCAAATGATCCTGAAACTTCCTTTATGTCAATGAAACCAACATTTTGAATAAGCTGGGTCATGTAGTTACTAAAAGCATGTAATGTGACAACATCCTGGTTATGACCCATTTCTGCTACATATGACTTGTTTACTTCAGGGCAAGTAAGCTTTCTGTGCTGTTTCCTCAAATATATAATGGGTATAACAACAGCTTCCTCATATAGGTGTTGTAAGGATTAGGGATCAAATTAAATAATAACGTGCATATACAGTCAGTAGGAAATTGTGATATATATTAATCCTTCTGGCTGTTAGCAGGACCTCTGAAATCAAACTCCTGGATATATATTTAAAGGTGGACATGAAAAAGCAATTTTACAGTTATAAGGTAATTATCTTCTTCATCAAAATCACAAATCAGCATTTTTTAGAAAGATGGTATTTGCTAATGGAGGTCAAATTTATCAGCAAAAAAATCAGTTCACTGTCTTATCATTAGTGACATTGAGCAGATGACAATGTGTGCAGTTGCAAAGTACTTGATAAGAAATTTGGAAGCAAGGATAATTTGCCACCCAGAATAGCAAAGACTATTTTTTTAAAGATCTTATTTATTTTGAGAGAGAAGGAGAGAGAGAGGATACAAGCGGGGGAAGGGGCAGAGGCAGAAGGAGAGAGGGAGAGAATCTCAACCAAACTCTATGCTGAGCTCAGAGCCTAACACGGGGCTCAATCTCATGACCCTGAGATCATGATCTGAGCTGAAATCAAGAGTCAGATGCTTAACCAACTAAGCCACCCAGGTATCCCAGAATAGCAAAGACCATTATGTTGTACTTAATTTCATACTTACAAGAATGTGCTAAGCATTTCATGTCTATTATCTCCTTTCATCCAAATAACACCCCCTAGGTGCAGTTTCTATCATTGTCACCCTATTAAGATAAGTAAACAAAAGCTTTGAGAAACTATGTAACTTAACAAGGTCTAACAGTGGATATGTGACTGGGTGACCATCTGACTTCAGTGCCTAAGCTAGTAATCACTATACTATGATGCTCTCAATATAAATAAATGGCTCAAATATCAGGATGAATTTTTTTATTTAAGATTACTCTGTGAAACAGGGTATCGTGTCTGTTTGGAATGGACACAGTCTGGCCAAGCCTACTATTACCAAGCCAGCAGCTGCCATATTTAGTTGCCGTGTGTAAGGGAAAGATTCAGAGAGGCAACATTAAGACCATCTTGTCAGGTCATTTAATTCACCTGAGGTTTCTTTTTTTTTTTTTAAAGATTTTATTTATTTATTTGAGACAGAGAGAATGAGAGGGAGGAGGGTCAGAGGGAGAAGCAGACCCCCCGCTGAGCAGGGAGCCCGATGCGGGACTCGATCCCGGGACTCCAGGATCATGACCTGAGCCGAAGGTAGTCGCTTAACCAACTGAGCCACCCAGGCGCCCTCCCTGAGGTTTCTTTTTATGAGGCTTTTTAGGCTGGGGGAGTTCTAGAGGAGTAATATTTACCACTACTTCCTTTTTTTTTTTTTCCCTTTTTTAAAGATCATATTTATTTATTTGTCGGAGAGAGAGAGCACGAGCACACAGCAGTGGAAGTGGCAGGCAGAGGGAGAAGCAGACTCCCCGCTGAGCAGGGAGCCCGACCTGGGAGACTCGATCCCAGGACCCTGGGACCGTGACCTGAGCCAAAGACAGACCCTTAACCTACTGAGGCACCCAGGCCTCCCTTACCACTGCTTCTTTATATTAAATCTCTTTCCCAAGCTCAACAAGACCCGGCTCTTAGCCATGATTGTAAATAGTGACCATCAAACATCCATCAGCCAGCAAAATTGTGTTTATGGTGTCACTGATTTAGAGGATCATCCACCTTGCTTTCATTCTGCTGTGTGAAGGTAGAAAGAGACTGGGAGCTTCAAGGGTTAATTCAAACACTATTCCAGAAATACTTACTATCAAATACCAACATATATGAAACTTACAGTTTTTCTTTTGTGCCTTTTTCACATCAAATTTTATTAAGACAAAATTAATTTTTAAAGTACTGTTAAATGTTCACAGACGATATATCACTCTGATGGTTCACTATATGACAGTAGCTTAAATGTTATGTAAGTATCCTCAGTCTGTTTTATATTTTATAACTTTTTTCAGATCACAGCGTTCTTACACTGTTTATCAGATCACAGTGTACTTATTTTTTTGAAAAGTGAAACGGCCAAGAACGGTAGTATATAGATGAAAACTTGTGTTTATTTTTATTGTATAATAGTTTGCTCATTTATGGCAATCTTGATAACATTATGGACTGAGAAATTATTATACAGTTCATAAAATTTGTGGTTATAATCGTCTTGAAGTCAACTTTTAGCCTATTGTAATAAAACCTTTCTATTCATGAGGGTCTTTTCCTGGAAAATGGTGGTAATTTAAAGTCAGTGGAAATTTCGTGGCACCTGGGTGGCTCAGTTGGTTAAATGTCTGCCATTAGCTCATGTCATGATCCCAGGGTCCTGGGATGATTCCCACCTCAGGCTCCTTGCTCAGCAGGAAGCCTGCTTCTCCGTCTGCAGCTCCCCCTGCTTGTGCTCTCTCTCTCTCTGACAAATAAATAAATATATAATCTTTAAAAAAAAAATAAAGTCAGTGGAAATTTCAGGAATGTGCTAATGATTACATAGGCAGCTTAACTTCTTTCTCTGGATTTACTATATTTACTATATATGTTTATGAATAGATTTTTAAAAAATATTTTGTTATTTATTTGAGAGAGAGAGAGCACACACAGGGAGAGGAGCAGAGGGAGAGGGACAAGCAGACCCCGCACTGAGCTACTGCTTCTTTTCATTTATGTCACAGGTTTTATCCACTGAAGGTTCTTAGTAAATACCTGCAATGTTAAGTTGAATGATTAAAACAGGAAGGACAAAAGGCCTTAAAAGAAAAAAAAAAAATGGGTTGATTTGCCAAGGCATTCTCTTCTGTGTACTTACTGTTTCACATGCTCTGAGGTGGCTATTTTGTCTTGGGCTGACAGGCAGTTTTGGCACGTACACCTGTGGTTTTATGTGTTTTTATATCTAGTTAGAAGCCTCATCTCTTTTTGTTTTGTTTTCTGTCTTCCTCCCACTGATCAGGCCGGAGGTGTGGCATCTGGACTAAATCATGTTCTCACGAATGACTTGACCGCTAAGAGGCTCCTGCATGTGAAGGGTCGGAGAGTGGTCAGGGCCACGGAAGTTCCCCTTAGCTGGGACAGTTTCAACAAGGGCGACTGCTTCATCATTGACCTTGGCACTGTAAGTATTACACACACATGCAGACATCTAACGGAGAGTAAATTGTGTTCAGATCAGATCAGATGTACGTGCCGTGGAGGATAATCACATTTCGACACACAGGGAACAGGTCATGTTTATGTGAGAGGCAATCATATCATAGGATGAATTGGCAAGTATTTAAATCACACAAAGTGAGACTTCAAAGTTTTTATTTTCTTTGATAGGTTTAGCATGGAGTAATGATTTAGTTCTTCCTACCATAGAACACACATAGAATAATTTTTAATATATTTACCCTCTGTCTGAATGGAGCTTCCGCTAATTATTTTTGTCCTTAATTGGGTGTGGGAAAACATTATTTGAGGGGCAAATGGAATTTCCTCCAGAAAGCAAAGTTTCTAGGATTTCAAATGGACATAGGATGAGTCTAAACAACTTGCCTGAGGAGATTTTAGGGGATATTTTGGGATATATATCACACATTTACTACACCATACTATTTCATACTTTTTAATTATTTTAGGGTATTAAGAGAAAAGGCACAAGTATAGATATTAAGTATCATCTTAATGGGATGGGCAATATCTGACTTATGTTTTTTTCCAGGAAAAGAGGCCCCTCTGAGTTCATGTATACTTACTAATAATTATTTTTTTTAAAGATTTTATTTATTTATTTTGAGAGAGAGAGGGAGAGAGCACAAACGAGGGTGAGGGGCAGAGGGAGAGGGAGAAGCAGGCTCCCCGCTGAGCAGGGAGCCAGATGTGGGGCTCGATCCCAGGACCCTGGGATCATGACCTGAGCTGAAGGCAGAAGCTTAACCGACTGAGCCACCCAGGTGCTGCAAATCATTATTATCGGTATTATTGCAAAGTCTTGTGCTAGATTCTAGATGGTGGGATTTAAGTTGGGTCTTTTAAAATTTGTAAGGTAGAAATAAAATAAAGTTGGAATGAAAGGCATTCTCTACCATTGAAAACCCATGGGCGAAGCAGAGAAGGCAGGAGAGCCCAGAGCCTTTATGATGCCCTTTTCCTCCTCCTCATGGTCATCCTTCTCATTACACCGTGTATATCAGCATCCTGCTCGTCGTCAGGAACATTTCTGTGCTCAGCATTGTACAGAGACTTGCTCTGACCAGTGCTGCTTCAGTTAGCCTGAGGCTTGCACCGGCTGTGGAATTTCTTCCCAGTGCACAGCCAGTGAATGGTGAAGCCAGGATTCCACCCTGGGGATGTCTGATTCCCACCTGAGCATTTTATTTTATTGCCTCTCCATGGGCAGTATTTTGGGGAAAAGCATCAGACAAAAGCCAAAAGAGTTTATTCCACGTGCAGAGAGAAGGGACACTAAGGGTTTTGAAAACGGAGCCCCGCAGTCAAGGTTCTGTTAAGGCAATATTAACTTAGCAACAGCACAGAGATTAAGTGTGCTAAGGTTATAAATCACTTGGAAAATGGCTCCAAGCTATAAACTTCGTGGGTTTCTCTCAGTTAGGATACACCTATAGTTTTATTGCTGCTAATGTAATTCGGCTACCTTGGATCACACCAGCTTGTGTGCACAGTTGCGATCATCATATTAATAACGTCCAAAGTACAGTTCTCAGTGTCACACTTACACATCTGCACCGAAAATGACAGTACCACTATCCTGAACCTCACGGTGAATTTCTTGGGAAAGCCCTTTTCAACTTTAAACGCTAACCAGTTCTCCTAACCGGCTTCTCCTAACATTTTTATAGCCCTTTATCCCTTGATAATTTATGAAGTGTTTTAACATAGAAGATAGTATTTTTCATAGAAAAAAGAGACCTCAGTTTTCCTCCAGGCTGACTTTAATCTTAGATTCTCATCTATAAAAGTCGATTAGATGATCTCTGGGGCCCCTACACAGAAGAGACACTTTCCGTTGATAATGTAATTCATCAGTGCCATTACGTGAACACACTTGTTTCTTAAAATAGCTTTTCATGTGTAATGTAATTGCTCCACACATGCAATAATCTCTTTAATTACCATGAATGGCTTCCAGTTCAGCTTTCTACCTGCTCTTTAATCTTGAGCAAGCTATTAACCTCTCCAGAGCCTTAACTTCCTCATTTATTGTTTTCATCTTGACTCCGATTTCTGATGGTGCTTCTAACCTTAGCCGACTATGATTCACTCTCCTCTGACACAGAGTCACATCTGGAAATGACAGTTGTCATCGTGGTTTCACAAGAGAAAAAAAGCCGTAGAGGGTGGGAGCAAGTCACTTGCCTGAATACAGGTTGAGGGTGACCTGCGGTTTTCTATTCTTAGTTTACATTCTTTCCACTACCCTAAGCTAACTTGGTGGGATATAAAATGGCATGGCTCTGTAACAGTATCTTGCGATAGTTTCTGAATCTGCTCAATTCAGAATTATGTCTAATCTAGCTTAAAATCTTCTCAAAGTAGTATTGTTAATGAAATCATGTTGTTGTTGAGCAAGTATTGCGCTTCCACAGTGGATTAGATGGTTGGGTGCTGGGGTAGGCAGATGGTGATTCCAGTGCCATATTCTGTCTTCCCGTGGGTAATGTCTGCCATGGGAGTATGACCAGTAAGTACAGGCTCCTATAATACGGACAGAGCCGCTATTGTGAGATTCAAGGACATTTATCTGTTTAAGAGTAAATTATCTATTTTATAGAGTTAATTACCTTTAATGACTTTCAAGTTGTCTCCTGCTCTCATGCCTGGTTAGAGAGACATATGGAATGATTTTGTTGCAGAGATAGCTGATTATCTCTTATGTTGTAGAAGTATACTATACCCCAGAGGGATACCCTGGTAGGAATCAAGCAGTACTTCATACACTCTAGTCGTTTATTCACATGATCTCTTTTTATGTAATAACCTTTAACCAGTTGGTATGTTGCCAACAATCTCTGAATGGTGATAAGATCTTGCAATTACCTTGGAGACTTTATTTTTGGGGTGTGTCATGGTAGACAAAGAAGGACATGGGACCAAAACTTTCTCTACTATAAAAGCTTAATGAGTTCATGATTTCAAAATTACCTTCTGCATTAGAGAGTACAAAAGGAAGCCAGTGCAATTTCTTCAAGTTTGTTTTATTATCCAGGTATGAAAAAAGTAGGTTGGACCTCCAAAGTTCTCATCCAACTAGAGCCAGCTGGCCAAAACTAAGGTTATGGACATAACCTAAATCCTGTATTTTGATTTTGTTTGGGGAAATCAACTTTTTTGATGAACAATCACTAGTATTAATATGATGTGCCATATACCTTTGAAACATATGCTGTTATAGGATTTGAGACTACAGAAAATATTTCCTGATATGACCATGTAACCACCTCGATCAAAAGCATGAGATTATAAAATTACCCATTTAATCCCTTTGAACTTTAAGAAATCATCAACATTTTAGAGGATGATTTGGATAAGCTATCTTATATTTAGTGTATTCTCAGAAAATAATATGGAACATGGCTAGATCTTAGCAATTTGGAATTTATTGAATCTTTGGAGAAGTGCTTTTGAACTGTGTATTTTAACGTTGGTGAATTTATCAATCATCAGTTTTAAAGCTATGAGGTGGTTGAGGTAGTTGTAGAAATGACTCACAAAATCACATCTAAATATATTGCAACAAAGCCATCAGTAACTACAGAATGTGAATGATAATGGAAAGAGTCTATAATTTCAAAGTTTGGGATCTGGAGCTAATGTTTTTGGAAATATGTGTCAGAGCCAGCCACTAGTGGAGAGTCGGATTTCACAGGCGGAGGAATTTCTGTGGTGAGTTACTAATTGTGCTGTTGGGCATGTTCCGTTTCCTTGTTAACTTGTTTGGTCAGTTTGCCCCACTCGCCTTGCTATTTATAACCTATTGCCCCTCTCTCATTGTTCCCTCCTGCTGCTTTGAAACAGCAGTCTACGCTTCCTCATTTACCAGTTGGTCCGCAACCCACGTTTCCTGACTTTTGCTCCCACCATTTCTTTGAATCTGTTCATCCTACGGCAGCAATGGCTTCTGCTAAATCCAGTGGACACTGTTCATTATCCACTCCATGCCTGTGCTGCAACTGACACTGTTGATTACTCCCTTTTATCTCAGCCTCACTCCTCCTCTGGCTTCTTGCTTTTCCTCCCTTTCAAGCCATTCTTTCTCATTCTTCTTTGCATGGTCTGCCCACCCCCTCAAGTTTTTTTTGTTTTGTTTTGTTTTTTTTTAAGGATTCCACTTTTGATCATTGTCTTTTTATACATTCTTCCTGAGCAAACTTACCCTCACCCAAAGCTTCAACTACTCACCCACTGGTAAATCTCAGTTTTATAGTCTCGCTCAGAACTCTTACGGGAGATCTATGTCAGCATTTCAGACTGCCTCCCAGATATTTCTTGTATCACAAGAACCTCAAACTCAACAAGTCTAAAAATGGAACTCGTCAACTTCACCCTCTCATTCCAAAATGATTTCTCCTCTTATTGTTCTTATAATGTTGAATGGAGCTACCTGTCATTCAGACCTCAAACTCCAAATCTAGAAATCATTCAGATGGCTTCTCCCAGAGGCTTTCTGTTCAACTGGTCACCGGGCCTACTCTCTTCTACCTCCTGAGTGTCTCCTGAATCCTTCCCATGCTCTTTATCACCATGATACTGTCTCATTGTCCTGCACATGACACTTTCCCTCGAGTCACCATGCTTTTGCTTTGTATACATTGTTTCCTTTGCCTAAAATCCACTCTTGCTCTCTATCACTTTTCTTTGGAAAGCATCCAATATCATCTCATCTTTAAATATTCAACTCCAATGTTGCTTTTTTTATGATGTGTTCCTTGGTCTCTTCCTCCGTCCTTCCCCAGTCCCACCTCGCATCCCTGTAGAATTAGGCAAGTCTTTATCTCATATTTCCTATCACCTTGCAGACTTGCCTTGAGCATTTTCCACATTGCCTGTCCATTCATTTATCAACCTCACTCACTCACTTTGTCCTTATTAGAAGACCCAGAACTTACAGTCACT